TCAGCAGGATTTGGGGCCAGTAAAACCACCACGTCGGGCAACCTGGGAACCCAGCTCTGAAAGGCTGGTTTTCTTCTCTTCAGTTCTGCTTGCCTGGGATGGGGCCCAGGCTGGTGGGGAGCAGAGCAAGGATCTTGGCTTCATGCTGTGCTGGAGCTGCTGGCAAAGCCCACCATCACCCCCCACCCCTGCTTCACCAGGACACAGACGTTGCCCACTGGGTGATGAGGACCTTGGCCTGGAGGGGTGTGGGTTTGTGGCAGCAGCACCCAGCAGAGCCCAGGGCTGAGGGAACACACTCACCAGCACCATTTCCACTCCACTGGACAATAAACCAACTGTGCCCAAGTGCTGGCAGAGCCAGGTGGACTTTGGTTTTCCAGCCTGGCTGGGTGTGTTTGCTGTCCCAGCTCCCAGTAGCTGGGTCAGGCCCTTGCAAGCTCCTTTTCCCTGCAATCCTCAGCTTTTGGCAGGGAAATCTCAGCTTCCTTCCCCCCTTCCCCAGGGCCCTCCTCACCTTCCTGAGCTCCTCCAGGATCCTGCCCTCCCCACACAGTCTCAAGGTGCTTCCAGTGCAATCATCCCTCTGCTCCCCTCACCATCTGGGAGCCTGCAAAGTCTGGGACACACCTTCCTACAAAGCAGAGAGGTGGCAGGAGACCCAGACTCTGGGGATGACCTTCCCCACCTCCTCCAGACCCTTCCTAAAAGCAGCCACCACCTCCTCCCCTCCCTCAGCTTCTCCTCTCACCAAGATGTGACCTCCTGGGGCTCAGTGCCAGGCAGCAGTGGCTGTAGGAGACAAGCCCCCATGCAGGTCCTTCCAGAATCATGGAATGGTTGGGCCACCTCCCACTCCTTGGGGCCAGCTGTGTTGGCTCCCATCAGCCCTGCTTTGCTAAAAGTCCTGACAATAAAGACCAGGTGGGAGAGAGATCCAGGGAGGACCTTCTGGCTGTAGCCCCACACTTCTCCCCTGCATCCCCTTGGCTCAGGGAACTCAAAGCCATGGAGGAAAAGCAGCTTTGGACACCCCAGGCAGACAGAACCCACTGTGATGGAGCAGGGAGCAGAGCTGAACCAGCATGGGTGGTACCCAGGTGTGGAATTCCTGGGCGGGAGAACATTGCCCTGGGAAAGGGAACAGCAAAATATTCCTGACCTGCTGGAAAGCAGCCCTGAAGAACAAGGATCTGGGAGTCCCAGGAGATAGTAAGTGATCCATGAACCAGCAGTGTGCCCTGGTGGCCAAGAAGGCCAGTGGTATCCTGGGATGCATAAGGAAGAGTAAGGCCTGTAGGTTGAGAGAGGTCATCTCCCCCTCTGCTCTGCCCTGGTGAGGCCACAGCTGGGGTGTTGTGTGCAGTTCTGGGCTCTCCAAGAGGGCCAGGGATCAGCTGGAAAGAGTCCAGTGGAGGGCAACAAAGGTGATTGGGGGTTTGGAGCATCTCTCTGACAAGGAGAGGCTGAGAGAGCTGGGACTGGGACTGTTTAGCCTGGTGAGAAGACTGAGAGGAGACCTTGTTAGTGTCTATAAATGTCTGAAGGGTGGGTGTCAGGAGGATGGAGCCAGACTCTGTTCAGTAGTGCCCAGCAATAGGACAAGGGGCAACAGGCACAAACTGGAATACTGGAAGTTTCAACTGAAAGGGAGGAAAAACTTCTTTACTCTGAGGGTGACAAAGCCCTGGGACAGGCTGCCCAGGGAAGTTGTGGAGTTTCCTTCTCTGGAGATGTTCAAGACCCACCTGGAAGCAGCCCTGGGTAATGAGAGCTGAAATCACGAGATCCTGCTGGTTGGAAAAGACCTTGAAGATGATGGAAATCAACCATAACCCAACTGTACCAACCACTAACCCAGCTCCACCAAGTCCAGCCCTTAAACCGTGTCCCTCAGGGCTACATCTCCACAGCTTTGAAACACCTCCAGAATGTCTCAGCCACCTCCCTGGGGCAATCCTGCTCTAGCAGAGGGTTGGAGTAGATGCTCTCTAGAGGTCCTCTCCACCTCTGATGATCCTGTTATTCCCCCACTCCTGCCCTGGCACTGAGCTCTGAACCACCTGCCTTCCTTACTGGTGCAGCTGGTTGACTCCACCAGCGACTGGTGGGCACACGGAGCTGGAAGGAGCTTTGAGTCCCATGTCTGAACACAGCAGGGAGCCCCCAGAGGGCTTTCTTCTCCCAGTTAATCCTGCACCCATTGCTGGCTGCAGAAGGCAGGCTGCTGGTTGCAGGGTGCTCCTGAGCTGCTGTGTTGACAGAAGATAGCATTGTGCAGATGGCAAACACTGGCCACCAAAGCCACCCCCGCCTTTCTGCTCCCTGCTTAAAAACAGCTGTTCCACAGCCTCAGGAGAGGGCTGCAATGCTGGGCAGCTTTGCAGGGGCTTGGGTGGGTTGGCATTAACCTGGGAATAAAAGGAAATTGTAGAATCACAGCATCGTTTGGGTTAGATAAAGACCTTTAAGGTCAGAAAGTCCAATGGCCACCACCAAACCACGTCCCTCAGCATCACATCTATATGGCTTGGAAATCCCTCCAGGAAAATCACTGCCTTGGGCAGCCTGGGCCAGTGCCTGACAACCCTTTTGGGGAAGAAATTGTTCCCAACATCCAATCTGAACCTCCCCTGGCACAACTGGAGCCCTTTTCCTCTCACCTTTCCTAAATTCAAGGGGGTGCTTGGATCTCTGGCAGAAGAAGAGCCCCTGGCTGCCCTGCTGGGGTGAAATGGGGATTTTTTTGCACAGCTGGACAAGGGCTGCTGCACATCATTTCCAGGGTAGCTGAATTCTATTTGTTTCCAAGGGATTTGGAAGTCTTGGAGAGCCATCCCTGTCCTTTCTTGGTGACTCAGCATCTCCTTTCCAGGAGGAGGTGGGACTCTCTGCAGCCAGAACTGACCTCAGGGGACAGGGCAGTGCAGCCCCATCCTGGAAGGAGCCAAAGGAAAAGTGCAGGAGCACAAACATTTGAAAAATGGGCCTCTTTTTTCCAGGGATGTGGAGGAGAAATCAAGCTCAGAGGTCTGGTGTTTTAGGAACCATTTTATTTTCACTTGTACTAGTAACGTCCCTCTCGAAAACGTAGGGTGTGAAGTTCATGTGAGAAATACACAGATGGATGAGAAGAAATTGGTTTGGGCTTCTCTTCATTAGCAATGACTGGCAACCATCCTCTCTGCACCTTTGCATTCCACTTGCCTCAGAGGCTTCAGCCCAGTCCAAAGCCCTGTTGTGTTGGCAACTCTTCTGCCATGGGTAGCTGCCAAGAGGCATGGAGATGAAATTCCTCCCAGCAAGCCCTGAAACTCTTGAGGAACTTTTCCCTTGGAAAAACTCACTGGTGAGGCCTGCAAATCTGATTCAGGAAGGTTTGTTTCATGGGTGCCTGTAAGGAAAGAGAACTGAGGCAAAGGTGTCCTTGGTCTCACTGGAGACCACGTCTGATGGATACCCACCACCATCTGCTCATCCTCCTTCTCACCCCAACCAAGTAGGGTGGTGGTTATGAGAAGGTCTTTGTCCTGCAGTGCCAAATACTGACACCAGCAGTGACTGCCTTTGGCTTCAGGAAGAGGAAGGCTGAAAGAATCACCCCCTTCCTCCTTGCAGCGTGTCAGGCAGCGTCCTCAGAGCCTGTGAAATCCCTCAGCTTTGCATTTTGGATCAGGTCCTGGTAGGTGGTGGGGCAGTAGGCTTTGTAGAGCTTCTCAGCCAGGGTGTTGCTGCCTGCCACCACCACCTTGCGGTTGTTGTTCATGAAGTTCCACAAGTGCAGGGCGTAGGAGTGGTTGAAACTGGGGCTCTTGTCCCACACCTGGTAGTACCTGCTCCAGGCTGGGTAAGGGATGGGGTAGAAACGCTGGGGATTGAGGAAGGAGATATTCTGGCAGCTGTGGTCCTCGGTGCCTTTGAAATCTGTGAGGTTGCAGATGGATTTGAGCATCCTTGTCATTAAAAAGGGGCCCTGATTCCCCCAGATGTTCCCGTTGTACTTGAGGACAAAGTTCTCCATGCAATCCCAAATGAATTTGTGGTGGGCAGGGAAGCCAAAGATGCCGTTGCTGGAGAACCGTGACTTCTGTGCAGCTAGGAAGCTTTCCTCAGGGATGGGCCTGATGGAGATGACATCTGTGTCCATGTAGATGCCCCCATACTTCCAAATGAGTGCCAGTCTGCTGGCGTCAGAGCTGACGTGGACCCAGTTCTTCTCCTGCTCCGGGTCTACCTGGACAGTTGGAAAGGAGAGACGGTGATGCCACCAGCACAAAAAGGATCACATACAGTCATAAAATGGTTTGGGTTGGAAGGGACCTTCAAGATCATCCAGTTCCAACCCCCTGCATGGGCAGGGACACCTCCCAGCAGCCCAGGTTGCTCCAAGCCCCATCCAACCTGCCCTTCAACACTGCCAGGGATGGGGCAGCCACAGCTTCCCTGGGCAACCTGGGCCAGGCTCTCACCACCCTCACACTCCACAATTCCCTCCTCATGTCTCACCTCAATCTCCCCTCTGCCAGTTTTCATCCCTTCCCCCTTGTCCTCTCCCTCCCTGCCCTTGTCCCAAGTCCCTCCCCAGCTTTCCTGGAGCCCCTTCAGGCACTGGAAGGTGCTCTAAGGTCTCCCTGGAGCCTTCTCTTCTCCAGGCTGAACACCCCAACTCTCCCAGCCTGGCTCCACAGCAGAGCTGCTCCAGCCTAAGGATCATCTCCGTGGCCTCCTCTGGACTCTCTCCAGCAGCTCCATGTCCTCCTTGTGTTGGGGGCTCCAGAACTGGACACAGTTCTCTAGATGGGTTCTCATTAGACTATGAAAACCACATCCATAAACCTGCACCCATAGCTCCTGGAAACGCCAGGGAGCACCTCTTCCTCCTCCAGCTCTTGGGTTTTACAGGAATGAGGCAGCAGAGGGCAAAGCTCTGTTCACAGAGCCGAGCACAGGAACATTTCATGGCTGTTTTGATGGCACCCGCAGGGTGAAACCAATGACGCCATGATTCATTGCCTGCTATTTTAGAGGGACACAACCCACTTCGCACACTCCCTGATCACTCCCAGGGCTTTGAAAGAGGCTGGAGGGTTTTTCACTGGCACTCCTGGTATTTGAAGTCATTTTTGCTCAGCAGAAGGAAGAGTTGGGAGCGAACACACTTGCCCTGCACCCAGATGGAGCCAAACAAATCTGACCCAAGCTACTTGCAACCTGTTTGCCAGGAACTTATTTCCAGGGTGGAGCTCACGAGATCCCACCTTGGTTTTATGGCACGTTGCTGCTGCACAAACTAAAAGCTCTCCCATGTCTTATCTCCCGTGGGTTCTGTTGGTGTGGGGCAGCATTAACAAGGGCTCAGATGACTCGGGCAGCACATTCCGTCCAACCAGCTTGTGTTGAGGAGGGTGATGAAGTGCTGTTTAATCACAACACGTAGGCAATCTATTTTTACCAGGCCTTTCTTTGCCAAAAAAAATATGATTCTCCAGATCTTGGGGGAGGGTGGAAGGGGGAAATGCTGAGAACGTGTTCAACAAACAGGGAGATGAAATGCAAACCGTGGCAAGAACAAATCTGGTCTGAACCCAAAAAAGAAATAGGACTCATTTCCCAGAGCCACTCTTGCATTCCTCCACTTTTTTAGACCTTCTCTTCAGACACTTTCTCCCCCTGTTTGTAACTATATTCCTGTTTCTCAGTTGTCCCCTTAGGAGGACACTCACCTGGTTGTACCATGGGAGCAGAGGGGTCTCCTGGAAGACAGTTTCCATCTGGAGAGGAAAAATGAAGACATTCTTCATAGAAGACAAAAGGGAGAAGGCTGCATAGCTGGAATTCAGGTCCAATGCTGTGTCGTTGGTAAGTCCCTTCATGAAGAGGATGATGGGCCTGTCCTGGTAGATCCTGGCTGCAGACTCCACGGAGCAGGACACCAGAGGAGGTGGCTCCAGGCGCTCCGTGGTCTCCAGAAAGATGATGCTTTTGCCAAGGTTCAAGACCTGCTCAGGTGTCAGGAAGTGCTTGGACATTGGCACGTAGGAGAAGAAGCAGCTGGACAGCAGGGAGATCTCGTACAAGATGCCTGAGATGAAGCAGAAGCAGAGGCATAGCTGGATTTTCCTCAACATTCTTGCTTTCCTGCGGCCTTTGGGGTAATGCCTCGGACATGGATGCTGAGGAGAGACAAGGGACAGCAAAAACAGATGCCAGGGTTATTACTGATCATGACTCAGTAGGCCATGGCCTTGGTCAGCATGGCATGAAGGCAGTTTGGTGTTTCCAGGTGCCCCATGCCAAGGCAAGAAGCCCCAAGCCCACCCCTGGGACAGGTTGGCAAGGAGAACTGTTCACAAGCCCAGTGGCATCGTCCCAACGTGACCTTGTCCACAAGCAGGAGACATCCAGGGGATCTGAGGAGCAAACCCTGACATGCCAGTGGAATTAGGTGGCCGAGGGGGCTGTGAGTCCCAGCCAGGGAAAGGCCATGGTTACAGTTTGGGATGGCAACCAAAGCAAAACCATTAGCACGGAGGCTCCAGAATCTTTTTCTGAACTCGCCCCTTCTGCTCACACTGAATTCCCAAAGGCTGTGAGGGACTTGGGTCCTGCAGGGACAGGGGCTGCAGAAGGACCAGAGAGAGAGACAGATGTAAGGACAGAAATTGGATGGGTTTGTACAAGCAAAGTACTAGGACCTACCTGGATGATAGTTCTGACAAATCCACATTTCCAGCTTATTTGTTTCCCATCCCGCTGGCAACCTGGTTTCCGTAGAGGCCAGCTCCCTGGAGAGGACACCCAAACTGTTTGGAGCATGCAAAGGGATTTCTGGAGGTAGGATGCTGAGGCAGGGAGGAGAAATGTCTGTGCTGGGATCTGAATCTCAGCCCCAGGAATGACGTGGGGCCAACGAGACCCACCTACAAGGACAAAGCAAGGCCAGGTTTTAGATGAGCCCCATCTCATGCCTACATCAGCCCAGCCCAGCTTCTTCTGGTCTCTCCAGCACACCAGCCCGTGCAGCTCTGGGGAGCTCCTGCCAGCCAGAGGCAGGATTGAATCTTATCTGCCTGGTGCTGTTTGACAGGCTGGTGACGCAAGGAAGTTCCCTCCTGAAATGCTACCTGGTTGCACCTGAGCACCCACGTGTGCTCTGCAGGGACCACCAGCTGAGGCCCGAGGGAGGGGAGACCCTCAGAATGCCAACCCAACCTCCAGGTGAGCCCTGGAAGCCTTTAGATCTGGGTTGATTCAAAGGAATGGCAAGGAATCTAGCTCTGTGTGCTCAGTTAATTAATGAGACCCATGACCATGTCACCCGAGCAGAGCAGAGATAAGGGCAGCACAGCAAAGCCCATGGAAATTCCCCTGTGCTTGGAGCTGGGGCAGCTCCTGATCCTTTCCTCAGAGCTAGATCCCATCCCAACTAAACATGAAAGCAGCAGCTGCCCCCACCAGCAGAGCTTCCCATCCTGCTGGTTTTCATTGCCACTGCCCAGAGCTCCTCCTTCCATCCTGGGCTCCCACTACAGCATGAGAGAAGGTCCCAGGGGTGAAGTAGGTGACAATGCTCAAGCCCCCAAGCACCAGTGTGGCTGTGGGTGTTACCTTCTGGACCAAGCCAGCAGGTTTGCAGCCTGCAGAGGAGGAGCTGCAGCTCTTTGTAGCTGATATTAGCTAATAATAGTGCATCATAACCAAGCCAATAACACGGTTCCTATTCCTGTTACTCCCTTTGCTTTGCCCCCTTTCTCTGGTGGCCCCAGCACCCTGCAGAGGAGCCCCTGCTGTGAGGGCAGCACCCTGTGCCCAGGGCCCCTCTGCAGATACTGGGCTGGGACGGAAGGCAGGGAGCAAAGAGCAAACACAAGTGGTTTGGAAAGGGCTCATTCCTCAGCCTGCAGATAAAGGAGCTGGTGCTACCCGAGCTGCACAGCCCCAGTGGTGCTGAGCATCAGGGGCCTGGGAAACAGCCCCAGCACTGAGAGGAAACTCATAGGATCATGGACTAGTTTGGGTTGGAAGGGACCTTAAAGATCATCCAGTCCCACCCCCTGCATGGGCAGGGACACCTCCCACCAGCCCAGGCTGCTCCAAGCCCCATCCAACCTGCCCTTCAACACTGCCAGGGATGGGGCAGCCACAGCTTCCCTGGGCAACCTGGGCCAGGCTCTCACCACCCTCACACTCCACAATTCCCTCCTCATGTCTCACCTCCATCTCCCCTCTTCCAGTGTTCATCCATCCCCCCTTGTCCTCTCCCTCCCTGCCCTTGTCCCAGGTCCCTCCCCAGCTTTCCTGGAGCCCCTTCAGGCACTGGAAGGGGCTCTAAGGTCTCCCTGGAGCCTTCTCTTCTCCAGGCTGAACACCCCAACTCTCCCAGCCTGGCTCCAGAGCAGAGCTGCTCCAGCCCTCAGATCATCTCTGTGGCCTCCTCTGGACTCCCTCTCCAGGAGCTCCATGTCCTTCTTATGTTGGAGTCTCCAGAACTGGACATAGTTCTGGAGTTGGGGTCTCACAAGAGCAGAGCAGATGGGACAATCCCCTCCCTGGCCCTGCAGGTCACACTCCTGGTGACAGCCCAGGACAGGGTTGGTTTCTGGGCTTCAGCACCCGGTGCCAAATCATGTTGAGCTTCTCATCAACCCCATCACTTGAATTACATAATTTCCTCCCATGTTCCCCTCCCACCTCTCTCTGAGGCACATGCTTCTGACCTGACTCCAGCCATTTGAAAACAAAGCAGGAAGATAAAGTTGCCTCCCAGCAGCTCCCTCATCCATCCCAGCTTGGCTGGGATTTCAGACTCATTTCTTTTCCCTCCTTCCCAGCTCAAACCTGGACCTTGCCCTGTGTTCTGCTCCAGTGCAGCCCAGGGACTGGAGCTCCCTCCCTCTCTTCCTTGCCATTTTGGAATCCTGGTGTCACCCCCTTGGCAACGTTTGCTTGAAGCAGAGAAGTCAGGCTTTGCTTTGATTAGAAATGGGCCCATCAGAACATTCCCATTACCGGATGAATATTTCTCCTTTGATGGCCTAAAGATGCCACGTCTCAGGTCTTTACAGGCAAAGCTCTGCTCTCAGCAGTCGTTCACATTTCAAATATTCCAGGAGGCATTTTATTTGCAAATTGTGAGGGGAGAATAAGCAGACACTCCAGCAGATCCCAGCTCTCTGGGCCACATTGTGAAGAGAAACGTGAATCTCCGTCAGCTCATTCTGGGAAATTGTTTTGCTTGGTTGGTTTCCCAAAACCCCTACGTGGGGAGTTATGAATTCTCATCACATTTGACCTGGAGGCTGCTGTTATCAAAAATGTTCACTTCCCTGCTCGAGTTAAAAGGGCTGCAGAAATGAATGTTAAAAATAAATCCCAGCCATTGAATAGATTACCCTGCTGAGTGGGTTGCTTTGCTGGCTGCAGCAGCCAGCAGGCTGGCTTGATGGCCCATCTTGTAGAGATATTTCTTTTTTTCTGGGGGCAATTTCAGCATTTCAAGTGCAGGAGGAAAACGGGGGGTGGAGGGGGAGACTCCAGGAGAGATGACTCTGAACGTGGGATAATTCCTCGGCCAGACACGTGCGGTGGGAAGGGACAGGGGGAGTTGTCAGGAAATGCTCACACTGCTGCCTGCAGCCCACAGCCAAGATCTGGCTGCCCCCCAACTTTGCAACCCCCCCAGGACAAAGATTCAGATGCCTCCCCAACTCTGCAGCCCCCCAAGGCAAAGATCTGACTGCTCCCCAACTCTGCAACCCCCCCTGGGACAAAGATCCAGATGCCCCCCAACTCTGCAGCCCACCAGGACAAAGATCCAGCTGCTCCCCAACTCTGAAACCCCCCCCAGGGCAAAGATCCAGATGTCCCCCAACTCTGCAGCCCCCCAGGGCTCAGCTCTGCACCAGCCCAACTTGGGGTGAGAGGACTGGGGTCCCCAGGGTGACCTCCCACCTCCCACCACAGCCCAAGAAGCAGGACCAGCTCTGCAGGTGTAACCTCAGAGCTGAGCTTAGGCTGTGGGCTCAGCTTCCATGGGCACTGATCTTCTCCTCCCTTGAAAAAAGGACATGCTTACATTTCAAAATCCCAGCACAGCAACATTCAGCTGGTACAGCTTCTGGGGCCAGGCTGCCTTGGAGTTTCAGGCTGTCTGAAGCCACTCACCTGCATTACTGAGTTACAGCTTGCACAGGAAAATAATGCACATGTCTGTGTGTGCAGCGCCTGAAGGGGCTCCAGGAAAGCTGGGGAGGGACTTGGGACAAGGGCAGGGAGGGAGAGGACAAGGGGGAAGGGATGAAAACTGGCAGAGGGGAGATGGAGGTGAGACATGAGGAGGGAATTGTGGAGTGTGAGGGTGGTGAGAGCCTGGCCCAGGTTGCCCAGGGAAGCTGTGGCTGCCCCATCCCTGGCAGTGTTGAAGGGCAGGTTGGATGGGGCTTGGAGCAACCTGGGCTGGTGGGAGGTGTCCCTGCCCATGCAGGGGGTTGGATCTGGATGATCTTGAAGGTCCCTTCCAACCCAAACCAGCCTGTGATTCTACAATATCTCAGTCCTCTGGCAACACCCAACTCTGCTGCCTGTGCCTCCTCATCCCCACAGCTCCCCTCCCAGGCATCCCTTGGGACCCAAAATCAAGTCTCCTTGCCAATCCCCAATGCTGCCTGCACCTTTTGGGTGACAGTCCCTCCTTCTCCTGGCAGGGAGTCACCCCAGGGCAGCCCCCGACCACAGCACACGCAGCATCTCCTGCCCCTGCCCCCCCTTCCCTCTGCAGAACCTGCTACAGGAAATCACAGCCACCATCAAGTCACCCCACATGGACACCCTTCAAAGCCAAATTCCTGCCAGATTTAACACCAGGCCCATTAGGAAACATTTCCAATGGAAAACCTGTGGAAGAACATCTGCTATTCAGGGCACGCTCAATTCCTCTCCAACCTCCAGCCACCTGAGCAAGCCCAGGGGCTTCCTACCTCCCTTCTTCTCACCTGCCTTCTGGTGCCACCACCTAACCTGCTTCAAAGTAAAGCAAAACTCACCTCTTACCTGCACAAAGCAGGCAAATCATGCAGCCTGTTGGGAAGCAAAGCCAAGCTGAACCACACTGGAAGGTGTCCCCAGGCAGTGGAGAGCCCTTTGCCAGAGTTCCTGCACTGCCTCTCCACTATCTTCTGCTCTGCCAGGGCTTGGAGGTGCCTCCTGGCTTGCTTTCCACCACTGCTGGTGTTTGCACTCTTGGTGCTCTGAGATAAGGCTGAGGAAGGATCTAGGGCTGCTTTCCAAGGTGCAGGCACCCAGGAGTGGCAGGACAAGGTCCTTCAGGCAGCCACACGTGAGCCAAACTCTCTGAGCGTCAGGAGAGGTGGATGGGACTCTTTGCACCTTTTGGGGATGGTTTACAGCATAGGGAAGTCTTTTTGCACCTAGAACCTGGTTCATGAAGGCTGCTCTGCACCACAGCTCAGATCTCTTGCCCCTGTAGCAAAGACCAACTGTGCTGGGGTGATGTTGATGCTCTGAATACTCCCAAGGAAGGGCCTCCTACACAGCCACCTCCCACGTAACCCCACACATCTCCAACTGTCTGGACAAGCTCAGGTGCCTGCCCAGGCAGGTAGGTTTGCTTATCCATAAGATCTTCTGCTTTTCCCCAGAACCTGGCCCCAGGGGGAAGCCTCCAGCCCTACAGGAGCACCACCAGATATCCCCAGGACTGGGATAACATCTCTCAGGTTGGAAGGATCCCCCAGAACTCTGCTGGCCCTCGGAGTCTAAGGGGTATGAACTTCAGTGGCTGAGAGAGCAGGATTGAT